TTACATTGATGATGTCTTCAAGCGAAAACTTTCAGATTTTCATTCATATACATACTTCAAACCATAAATCACGTGAACTGAACAAAAACATTCTAGCAATTGACAGAATATTTACATCTCTTCCCTAAAATTAATAGATTAAATTACTATTATTATTATGATTTTTATTTGTTATTTGCAGGAATTAAAACGAATACCTTATTAAAAATCTCTCCAAAAGTTAATTTCTTTTTCGACTTACTAACAGCTAAATCGCTTTCAACACAAGCAAAAGCAAAAGGAACAACTATCAGGTTCATAAACAGCAAGACCATCAAAGAGGGAATAAAACCGGCGAAATAAAATAAAAAGGCACCCCAAAAGAATCCAACACCTTTTACAGAATTTTTTGCACCTGTAAGCCAGGCTACCAACTTAAATAATTGAGATTGATGATAACTGCTTTTAGTCACTAGCTTTGTTATGGATTTACCACCTAACTTGACTAAATCTTTTGCCACTCCACTGAATCCCTGTGAGATAATGACGTATATATAAAAGGTAATGCCTTTAGGAATCCAGTTTAAGCCACATAGCATTCCTATGCCAATAATTTGAGTGATAAGACCTGAAATTAGGCAAGTACGAAGTCCTAGATGCGATCCTAATATACCGCCGAACAAATTGGTAACTACGCCCAAGAATTCATATGACGTAAGCATAATAGCTGTTTGTAATGCCTAGTAATAAATTTGTTTTTTGTTAAATTTTGGTTTAAATTAGAGACCTGCAAATGCCCATGCCGGCACATGGAACACCTTGCAGGACACTATTGCCTCATGTCGTGCCAGTGCCTATAAGCGCAAAGGCACCAGGCAACTTTAGGCCGGTGCTTAAAAAAATGCCTGGCATATTTTAGGCTGGCATTTTTGTCTCATGCTCGGTACTATAAATTTTTATCAGACACGACAAATAATGAAATATCGGTGATGAGGAATACGTACACCATAATGTTCATTATATAGCTCAAACAACACAATCATCCGAAGGCCTGAATCTGTGAGTGTGAAAAGTAAATATCCACTAGAGATTACATAAAAATTTTTCATTGATCTCACTTCATCTTGATTCGTATCTTGTAGTATTTCAGGTTTATTATTTTGTGATTCTAAAGATTCTGGAATATATAGTTCATGCATGTCAGCCTTTTCATTGTATTGTGAAGGAGATTCCAATATGTCATTATTATTTTTTTCCGTAGCTAATCCCTGAATTGTTATATTAGATTGTGTTTTTGATTCATCCATATTGCGAGGATGCTTTACAAAATTTTAAACTTAAGGTCTATTTATACATTTCGTGCAATAGATAGACAAAAACAATGTGAAATTCGTTTAACCAATAATGGCACTTTATTGAATTAATAATTCTGAATTAAAAATTGTAGTCAATACAAATACGGAAATCTAGAATTAAAAATTCAAGTAATCGACAAATAACGATAATGCAGTGTAACGTAGTTTCTTAAATATATAGTTTATGAAATCTTTTTACTCTTATTGGGGACGTCTAAAGCGGTTATAATATATATTTTATTGAATTAACTTTAGGGTTAGGGTCATCTTATATTAGGGTTAGATTTTAGGTTGTATATGAGCAAAATTGCCCCATCGACATTTTTAATTAACCCACCCGAGGTAAGTTTGGACTGCCATTTTTTGTATTTTTCAAGTTTTTTAGTCAAAATTATATAATTTGATTGGTCCCGTATCACGTGATTACGCTCCGCTTTCCCTTATTGGATTAAATTCATACAGATAGCCCTCGTTAATATCAACCTATTTATTGGTTTTAGATCATGTTGATAGTGATATTAAAGAGAAATCATATTAAAGTTGATAAATATGAAGGAGTTTTATATATTGTGGCTTAGGATGAATAATAATCCTAATTAAGTATAGATCTGCATCACACCTCTGCGCGGATTTCACGTATATTAATTAATACGTAATAACTTGGCAGTGGTTTTGGTTATTATTGTGAGACGTACACCAATCCAGAGCACAGAAACCATTTTTAAGAGCTTAGTATATGGGCCAATATGTGACTTTATGAAACAGCAGAGACAGTGCCCGATCCCTCTCGCCTGTGATCAATCACAAATTAAATTATTTATGTTGGATTCAATTGTGATGGATATAATCCCTCACCAGTTTTAATATATGTGTAACATTAACGGTCTCTGCTGTAGACTCTATGCAGAAGAGAGAACCACGTACCCTAAAACTTTTTGATGATGTAACAGGTTATTTGACAATGCAATTATCTGACAAACAGTTCATTAGACAATTAGCTAAACATTTTGAGACGAAAGGTTGATTTTTAATACTACACAACAATGACAAATGGCATGATTCAGTAGGATCAGGCTAGTAATTAGACGATAATCTAATGGGTTTTGAGATAACCTAAAATCCTTCTTGCATAATAATGCAGAATGAACCCTCAATAAATCAAAACAATCACTCTAATCATTCGTCAGACCAATCAAAAGAATTAAATAAGGGGTATAGACTAAATTTAGTGACTCTATTCAAGGCCCAATATACGCCGATTGGCCCATATGGTTGAATAGCAATACAACGCTAAACTTATTCGTACATTTAGTTTTCATATCACCTGATTTACTGTGACACGGCCTGCAAAAAGATGCAAGATCCCAAAGTCATAAAGTCGAAGGTCTATGTTGCAAAATTAATGTTAAGTATATACGTATAAATATAGATACGTATATGTATAATTTTAAATTTAGTTATACGTACGTATCATACGATATATTTTATAATAATAAAATATAGTATATAGGATGTTACTAAAACACACCTATGATGTTTTACGGTTACGATTACGGCACAATTCCCCGAAAGTTATTTCCCGACTCGACATCACACGGAGTGATAATTTGCTAAAAATATATACCTAATCGAACGCTAACCCTAACCCTATGTGATGTCAGGTAAGTGACCTATCGAAATGTCTTTCGGGGAATTGAGCGACAACCGTATTTTACACCTATGTATGTATTAATTCAAAAACTGGCTAATTAAGGTGTGAGATGTTCTAAGTAACAATGTTCTATGTCCCAAAAACCTATCCCAAACAGGGCACAAAATTTCGGCGTGTCATAACCTGCTTTTTTTCGGTAAACGAAATTTAGAAACTCCTGCAATATATTTATATTATAAAATTTCCGGCCCGTTTTAAAAGTGCTAATCTTAATGTAAAAAATTTGTGTTAAAAATTTTATAAAACCATATACGTGTAATAGGTGCAAAACACCATAGGTGTGTTTTTAATAATTGTTATATGACGTATATATTAGAATGTTATATTTATTATATTGTGATTTTGCGATATTATAATTTGCAACACTTCTGACTATTTAAATATAAAACTTGATAAGTTGCAACCCTAATTGCGCCATATTAAGATCAATACTAATATCAATAAAGGGAAAAACTTTGACTGGGTTTTAAAAAAAAAATCATGATTTATAAATGATTTATACGATCATAAAACAATCAGCCAGTCTGCAGGCTTTTCATATATTTTCGGTAATTAGCAATACGTATTATGAAATGAGTGCCGCAAGGGAAAACCCGCAAATCTTATTTAAAAATAAGATTTGAGGGTTTTCCCTTGGCAGCACTCACATTTAATTTTTAATAATTACCAAATCAAAAAAATTTCGCCAATATGTACGTACAATCTTATTGACACAGCATTAACCTTACCGAGTAGGGATGTTAACAGTCTATTCTGGTCTATTTTGGTCCTGTCTTTAGTAATTTATATTTTTAAGATTTCAGCAATTAGACATATCAAGTCCAGACTGGTCTGGCCCTATGAATGAAAGCAGATTATTTTTCAGTTTCAGACCGGTTTTAAGAATAGCTATGGTTTTTCGGTTTAGGCCAGATGGTCTAACATCGCTACTAAAATTAGAGTCAGTGATTGGTATGGATGTTAAATCGCCAGTCAGATTCTAGGATGGAAGTTTGTCTGATTGGCTGACGTAAAAATTCGGACTGTACAAAATAACTATAATTTGATTGTACAGCCAACTATTTAAAAAAAGGCACTCTGGAATGATTTTGTCAAAGATTATTTTATCAAGTCGCATTCACGTGATTTATGGTTTGAAGTATGTATATGAATGAAAATCTGAAAGTTTTCGCTTGAAGACATCATCAATGTAA